CCAGAGAAGCTGGGTAAGAATCTTTATTTAACTAAAATGTGGGGCCACAGAGGAGTAAAAGTAAAAGGTGGCGCTGCCTGTCTAAACCTCAGTGTGACCCAAGGAATGGCTGGGGGAGAGGCGGAAGTGAAGCGAGTCTTGGGAGAAGGAGATGAGCCACCATAGAGCTCGTGGTAGCCCGGAAGGAAGGCAGCCGCACCAGATGCAATGTCAAAACACTCGGGGGGATAATAAACAGGATCCCACAAAGGCTCCGAAACAGCAGTCCTTAACCTCCTTTGGGTCTCTGACCCCTTTGAAAATATGACGAAAAGTACAAATTCTCTTTTTGGAAAAAGAGCACAGATGTGCCCACAAGGTCTTCATGGTGGAGAATCTCTGTTCCTATCGCCAGAGGAATGGATGGTTCTCACAAGTGTACCGCAAACAATGAAATAAGGAAAGAGGCAGAAAAGGGGCTCCAAGGGGCTGATGGAGCCGAGGAAAGAGAGCTCTGTAGGGTTCTTATCCATAACGGATGGAAGGAGAGCTAATTATGAACATAAAGTTGTGGCGTGGGGCTGTGAGAACAAGGCCAAGAAGCCATAAGTCTAAAATGAGACGAAATGTGCTTAGTGTTAGAATTCACAAAAATAGGTTGTCCTTACGTTCCGAGCAAGAGGAAAAGGAAAGGCAGAGTCCTTGGTGCTGGTGGTGTGACATTAGCCGAATTCCCCGACCTCTACCTTGACCTCAGTTTCATCTTTTCTGTCAAGAAGATTAATTTCCAGGCTCTAAAATGTGAAACTACACTGCTGAGAACGAACTGAACACTCAGATAGGACAATTTAGACAGCAACTGGCCACGTTAAATGGATTCAAGAATCTTGGCCTAGAACAAGCACCCACTGGGAGGTAGTTACCTGAGGAAGGAGGAAAGGCCAACTTCTATCATGGGGAATGGTCTCAGATCTTTTTGGGGTCACTTGGGGAGACAACTCCAGGACCAGTAGATGGAAATCTCAGGGATGTAAATGTCAGATTCCTACTAGGAAGAAGATCAATGAGAGTTTTTCCCAAGTGGAGTGGACTACCTGAGGAGGTAGTGAGTCCCATGTTACAGCTGGCATTCGAGTGACCACTGAGCAATCAGTTTGGAGGGCTTTTACAGACGAGTCTGAACCAAAGGTCCCTTCCAACCCTGAAAGCCTATTGCTCTGTGGCTCTACAAGATTAGGGGAGCAAAGAATGAGTCCTTTCCCGGATTAACTCTAGACTTTTTAACTTTGCTTTTCTGCCTCTGAATTGGTGCACACCACTCCCTTCTCACCCCTCTTCCCTGTGTCTTTTCTCCCTTCTCTTTGCCTCTTGTACCATTCTCCAGTTCTTTTTCTCATTCTTCTTTTATCCTGCTTCATTCCCTTTACCCAGATCCTAAAAGGCGGGGACTGTGGTTATAGTTGGCAAAGAAGAAGGCACCTCTTTGCCTCTTGTCTAGAATCCCTCTCTCTGGGTTCTTGCCTATTTATATCGCGTCCAAACTCGCCACACCTCTTCTATGAAGCCCTCCCTGACCACCACTCCTCTGAGCTCCTAGCGCTCTGGTCCCATCCCTCCCCCTTGGTCCTTACGACACATACTGGCGTCCTTTCTTCTGCTCGGTCTTATAACATCATTTCACTTTTCACATGTAGGTCATTGTTCCTCCAGTGGAGTATAAACTCACGGAGTGAAAGACCACACAGGTGGCTTCATTTTTAATTTCCTAAAGCACCTACTACTGTGCACTTCATAATTATTCTGAATGAATGCTAGATTCTACCATTTAAGTTTCTAAACACATATACACACTAAGGGTGAAAAGAGAACAAATGGACTAAAGCTGAATATAGCAAGAAGAAGTTAGTTGAGTTCTAAAGAAGCAGTATCAGAGAATTGGAAGGGACATTAAAGACGATCTAATCAACTCCCTCGTTTTGCAACCTGCCGCTCTGAATCTGAGTGCTATGTGACTTGGAAGCAGAACTGGACTAGATGCCAAACAGTGTCCAAAACAGTGTCTTCTCTTTGATTTCTCATTGCAAAACCTTGATGGGGGAACTGAAGTAAGTTAACTGATAGCTCTGAGTCTTTGAAGGCGAATAAAACCTCCATTTGCCTGCAGGCATAGACATGGACTAAATGACTTCTGAAGTTTCTCAGGGACAGATTATGTGATCATGCACCTTGGCGTCCTATTGGAAACATGCTGCTGCAACTACGCCATCTCGTGGTATGAAGCAGATATTGCACCATCAGCCATCTCCACAAACACACATTCTACCTTAAAAGCCCTAGTAACCAAAGAGAGCTTTTAGATGCCAAACACATGATGGCACTATGCTGAATGCTGCCCTCGGTAATTACACCCTGCTAGAAGTCTCCAGGGTCTTCTCTCGCTCTGATATCTTCAGTTCCGACTTGGCAATTGTGTTAAGGAGACTATATTGCCGCCATCACTAATTAGCAGAGACCTCTGACAGCCTGACTTAAGTCTTGAAGGGTGGGAATAATTTGAGCAGAAAAAGGAGTGCACATCAGGAGGGAGGGGCAAGATGCATCAAGAGGTCGTGGGGCAAGGAGGGAGGAGGAAGAAGAGATGGAAGAGGGGGAGGAGGGGAGGAGGGGGAGAAGGACGAAGAGGAGGAGGAAGTGGGGAGGAGGCACACAGGGGAGCTGACAAGCAGGGAAAGGGGGTAGCTGGCTGCAACAAACAGTGTTCGTAGGAGACTGGGGCAAATAAAGGAATGCCTTAGAAACTGACAGGAAGGTTTGGGAATGACCAGTAGGACTTAGGGGGTTTTATAAGTCCTAATTAGAAAAGATATTTTATGAAATTGGCATTTTAGGAATAGTAATATTATGCTGTTGGTTCACAAATTGAACCCCATACACAGAGGGCAAGGACAAAGCAGAAGACCACTCCAGGCTGGTAGGTGGCGGGTTTACTAAGCAAGGGAATTTATTTATGAGGCTTGCTTTGGGCAACAGAAAGATGAGTAGATCTCTGCACCTGCCCACCAGAGTCTCCAAAGTTTATATAGAGGCCTTAATGGGGTTCAGTCACATATACAGCCCAGATGGTCTCAACCACACATTGCTCTCTCAAGGCTGCGTCCTTGAAACAGCTGCTAGTGTGGGAACAGTGGGCAGAGCGTGCATTCCAAGGACAGGGGAGGGGGCGAGGAGCCTCCAAGTGCCTGGGGACTAGCAGTTGCATTCTCTGGATGGCCTCCTCCACACACATGTCATGTTACAGCCTTCAAATGGAGGGGGGAAACTAAAAGATTAAGAGTTGAGTTTGTTATTGTTATTCTTCCTATGTGATATTCTTAACTTCTTAAATGGGAATAATAACTCCTCCTCCTCCTAAGCTGCTATGAGAGAATGAGATATGACGGGCTTAGCACAGAGCCCAGCAGTAGAAGTGATGGCTGAGCTGGAACAGCCATGTTAGATCATGGACAGGGGTTACACACTGCATTGCCACAAGATAAAAGGAGCCTGGGTCCTGAGGACCTTGTGGAGAATGGCTGCCCTGCCAGCTCTGGACTGCCAACCTCAACTTCAGTGGGAGGGGAAAATGCACTTTCGTTTCTTTTAAGCCACTGTCTTTTGGTCTCCATAACTCACAGCCAAATATAACCATAACTTACTGATATCGTGTTCAATAAATGCTGGCTGTTATCTATCAGATGATTACAAGTATTTAATGTCTGTCTTCCCACTAGACTGTAAGCTCCCTGAGGGCAGAGACCACATCTGTCTGGTTCAGTACACCCCCAAGGCCCCAGCCAGTGCCGTACACACATCAGGTACTCAATGAGTGTCTGTTGACTGACCCCTGTTCATGCCCCACTGCTCCTTGTGCCTGAGCACCCACCTTCAGCCATATTTTCCTTTAAGGTCTCATGTAAAGCCCATCTCCTAAGGAAAATCTCCCCTGTCACACCTCACTTTCTTCCGGTTCCACTTCTTGCGGGTCCCTTGGGACTCACACTGTATGCTACATAGATGAAGTTGTCCTGCTATTGGCATGCAATTTGGGTGCCATTCGCTACTTAGTCCCTGCATGTCCTTGCTTACCTGGACTGTAAGATACTTTGGCAGGAAAACACTTTCAGTTTTTTAATCGTTGGGAGCCTTACGCCCATTTCCTCACACTTGTGCACAGTGGATGATAAATACTTCATGAAGAAAGAAAGGGAGTGAAGGAGGGGAGAAAACCGGACAAGGCCCCACCACTGAGGAGGAATGCTGGCATTTTAAGTTGGGGAGGGTGATTATGAAAAAGGAGAAATAAGTAAGGTCGATAAAGAGCAGCCAGGATAGTTGGGAGTGAGTAAGAGAAAAGACAGTACACGTAAAAAAGTTTAAGATGGAATGTACTTAACGCTATACACTTAAAAATGGTTAAGATGGCAAATTTTATATTATATGTATTTTACCACAATGTTTTTTTAAAAAGCAGCAGCAGCAGCCGCAAGGACCTGGTATCCCCAGGACTCCTGGTGTCCCTCTTCCTGCTCGCCACCTGGAGGTGAGAAAAGGTGGAGAGTCAGCCTTGGAAGGAAACAGAAATGCTGATCACAACCCCTCAAACTGCAGATCCTTCCAGAGCTCTCTGCTCATGGGCGCGGCCCTCATGGTTCTCGACCCACGGGGAGCCCTTGTCTTCCAGCTCCCAGATACCACTCCTTTCTCTGAGTGATGTTCATGAGACCTCAGGTGACATTATCTCACACGTGTGTACGTGCACATGCACACACCTCAATTAATTAGTTTAAGAAAACCAAGTTAGACACTGGTCAGGATCGGGGAATGTGGCCCAGCCTGCCAGAGCTGAGCTGTTTATTTACAGGGAGCGCTATGGGCCCGTGAGGTCCCGGGCTGTGGTGCAGTCAGTGTTAAGTCCAGGGCACCAGCTCCAGCTCAGTAACTCTGGGCCTCTCACTAACTCACGCTGGAAGGGCTAGGTCCAAGGACCAGGCGCTGGAAACAAAGTTCTAGATGGAAAGGGCATCCCACCCTCCATACCCAGCCCCTGATCATAGACCCCGAGCCCTTCTCAGGATGGCACCAAGCCCAGGGAGGCACAGGGAAGGGAGTGAAGAGGAGCAGGGTAAAAAACACAGGCCAGGGCAGGCCGAGTGGTGCGATGGTTAAGAGTTGGCTTGGGACGCCAGAGGGCCCCAGTTCGGATCCCACATATGAGGGCCAGTGACACTGCCCTCCACAGCTAAGATGCTGAACAATAGCTCAACCTGGAGCTGGGCTGCCATGAGTCGCAGGCTACGGCAGTGTAGGCTGCAGCCCCTGTGGCAGTGGGTTGCCATGGGCTACCGTATGTAGCCAGCAGCCAGCGTGAGCGGCCAGCAGCCGCAGTGACAGCAACTTGTCTGTTCCCCTTCCCCCAATTCCCCAGCTCTGTTCCCATCCCCCCAATTCCCCAATAAAAATCTTTTAAAAAAGAGAAAGAACACAGGCCAGGGACACTCTTTTCCACCTGGGATCTGGATTTCTCACCGCTGAAGCCTGTACGAGAGGTCCCAGGCCTGAGGGAGGGAATGGTCTGGACTCGAGAAGCCCTGGGAGAGGCAGGAGGATGTGACTGTTGAGGGTCAAGAGAGGGAGCAAAGACCACAGAGGGCAGGAGGCCCGGCAGGAGGCCAGGCAGGAAGCAAATGACAGGAAGACACAGGAGCAGTGAGAGGGGAAAGGGAATGACAGGAGAGGCCGGCTCCTCTCCAGTCATGAACCCCTGCCGTTTCCTCTTCAGGGGTCAGGGCTGGGACAGAAGAGCTCTGGGACATGTGCTGTTGTTCCAAAGGCCCTGTGTGGCCCCAGGAAGGACCAAGGTGGAGAGGCTGTACTCACCCTGGAGGGATCTGCTTCACCCAGACATGATGTGCTTGACAAAGGCTGGGAAAGAAGACAGAAATCAGCCACTGCACTTGGCCCCTCTCAGCTCTTTATTGCCCTCGTGGCCCCTTAAACCTCTTTCCCCTTCCCTACGCGGCCTGACTTGAAACCTTCCCAATACCCCTTTCCCAGGCTGTGATTCTTTCTCTTCTTTGGGGGTTGATGGGAGGAGGTAGAAGAGGAAAGAGACCTCATCTCTGCAATGTGTCCACTCTGTGCTGATGCGCGACATGGATGAAATGAGCTATGTTACCTCGACTAATCCCCTCAACCCTTGAGAAAGCTGCCTGCATTCCCCCATTTCTCAGATGAGAAAACTGAGGCTCAGAGAAGGTAGGTGACTTGATGAAGGTCACCCAGCTAGTATATCATAGAGCTACCTCCGAAGTCCATGCTCCTTCCATTCCACTAGGATGGAAAAGAACAACAACAAAGCCTATCTGACACCCACGTCCTCTAGCTCCTGGATCTGTTCTGCTCTGCAGACCCATCCAGCCCAAACTGTGCCCACTTTCCCATCCTTGGGTACATGGGGAAGTGAGGAGTGACCTGATACCTTCATAATTGATACAGCCATTGGCATCCTCTTGCCCAGCTAACAGCTGCTCCACTTCTGCCTCAGTCATCTTCTCTCCTGTGGGACGCAAGGGAGGCCGCAGTGGGCTCTTAATTCCAGATGGCAGAAGAGGGAAAGGCAAGCACCCCTCCAGTCTAAAGGCCCTAGATTACCTGATCTGGAAGTGGTCATACCAAGCCTGCCCCTAAGGCATTGGAGTGGAGCCAAGGGTCTTAAGACCTGTCTTAGCCCCTGAGGCCTCTCCCTGTGCCTTACAGCCACCACTGGGTGAGCAGAGCAGGGCCCCAGTGACTGAGGCAACGACAAGGGCAGGAGCCCTGGGTCCCCCCTCTCAGGCCTCAGCAGTCACCCCTGCTCTGCTCTCCTCTCCCCCCAAACCCTGCTGCGCAAACCCAGCTGGGGCAGCTTGTTCTAAGGAACAGGATGCAGTCCTCAGGATGCAGGGACCCCCAAACATCCCCAACATCTGCCACCTGGGCACCTCCCGCCTCTCATTCTGCCCACTTGGGCTCTGCCTTGCCCAGCTGGCGTACCCAGGGTGGCAAGGACATGGCGAAGCTCAGCGCCCATGACTGTGCCATTGCTCTCCTTGTCGAAAACACGTAGCCCCTCCACAAAGTCCTCGTAGGTGCCCTGCTCCTTGTTACGTGAGATGTGCTGCAGGATGGGCAGGAACGTCTCAAAGTCCAGCATCTTGGCATTCATCTCTTTAGGTGGCATGGGGAAGGAAAGAGGAAGTGATGTGAGCAGAACCACAAGGGGAGCAGATGGCCAGGAGGGGGCCTCACCCCAGCTCTGCCAGGCTAGAGCCTGTCCCTGGCAGCACCCAGGGCTTAGCTGTAGCCACTTCTGCGTGGGGCACCCAGTCAGTGACCCTGGAGGGCACAGAGCCCACGGGAGCAAGGCAGGAGGCTGGCTCTGGGGCACCCTTCTTAGGGAAAGGACCAGGGCAGAAAGGAAAAAGAGCCGTGACTCCACCCAGACCTCTGAGCTCCAAGGGGAGCTCAGGGTGGCAACAGCAGAATTTGAGGGGCTCGAAGGGCCACACAGCCCAGGCATCACATTCACAACTTAGGCTTTTGGCACGTGATAGACATAAGTCACAGAGGTAAACTGAGAGAATCACAAAGAGAAAAGTTGGCACAATTCTGCATTTGGGCCCCATTACTAGACCACATGGCCTGAAGCTACTCTGAATCAGTTATTTTCATCAATTTGCAAATCTCCGGTGACTGGCACGTTTCTCCCACATTGTAGTATGTTAAAAGCTTCAATTTAATAGATTCAAACCATTTTTAAATACCACAAATTTTGGTATTTCTTTCTTTTATTACAACCCAGAAAACCCCCAAAATGGAAGTGCCCAGATATCTTTTGACCTCTAAGAAGCCCTGCTGACATGGGTGAGCTCCTAGTCCTTGGGCCCCTTCCTGCCCACATCCATCATCCCACCCCCGTTTCTTTCTTCAGTAGCAAGAAGAGGAAGGGAAGGCGGCCAGAACCAAGGAAGGAGAGGACCGATGGGCCCCCCCACAAGACTCCAGAGACCGCCCACCTAGGGTGGGGGATTCCGCCCTGGTTGGCCTGGCCCCACCTGGTGCCTACACCTCTGAGGAGAAGGTTGTGTGTGTTAGGGCAGCTATTAACTTCACTGCCTCACATGACA